TTTTCAAAAAGTTGGTAATCTACTTCCCCGAAAAGTCGGTAATCTACTTTCCCAAAAAGTAGATTATCTACTTTTCGGGAAAGTAGGTAACCAACTTTCCCGGAAAGTAGATTATTTCCCATTTTCTATGATACAAATTTCCCGTTTTCTATGATAAGTAGAAAACCAACTTTCCCAGAGAATAGATATTTCCCATTTTTTGTGATACAAATTTCCCGTTTTCTATAATAATCTACTTCGCAAAATTTGGTAATATTTCCCCAAAAGTCGATAATCTACTTCCCTGAAAAGTCGATAATCTACTTTCCCGAAAAGTAGATAATCTACGTTTCGGGAAAGTAGATTACCAACTTTCCCGGAAAGTAGATTATTTCCCATTTTCTATGATACAAATTTCCCGTTTTCTATGATAATCTACTTCTGAAAATTAGGTAATAATTTTCAAAAAGTCGATAATATACTTCCCCGAAAAGTCGATAATCTACTTTCCCGAAAAGTAGATAATGTACTTTTCGGGAAAGTAGATTACCAACTTTCCCGGAAAGTAGATTATTTCCCATTTTCTATGATACAAATTTCCCGTTATCTATGATAAGTAGACAACCAACTTTCCCGGAAAGTAGATTATTTCCCATTTTCTATGATACAAATTTCCCGTTTTCTATGATAAGTAGATAACCAACTTTCCCAGAAAATAGATATTTTCCATTTTCTGTGATACAAATTTCCCGTTTTCTATAATAATCTACTTCGCAAAATTTGGTAATATTTCCCCAAAAGTCGATAATCTACTTCCCCGAAAAGTCGATAATCTACTTTCCCGAAAAGTAGATAATCTACTTTTCGGGAAAGTAGATTACCAACTTTCCCGGAAAGTAGATTATTTCCCATTTTCTATGATACAAATTTCCCGTTTTCTATGATAAGTAGATAACCAACTTTCCCAGAGAATAGATATTTCCCATTTTCTGTGATACAAATTTCCCGTTTTCTATAATAATCTACTTCGCAAAATTTGGTAATATTTCCCCAAAAGTCGATAATCTACTTCCCCGAAAAGTCGATAATCTACTTTCCCGAAAAGTAGATAATCTACGTTTCGGGAAAGTAGATTACCAACTTTCCCGGAAAGTAGATTATTTCCCATTTTCTATGATACAAATTTCTCGTTTTCTATGATAATCTACTTCTGAAAATTAGGTAATAATTGTCAAAAAGTCGATAATCTACTTCCCCGAAAAGTCGATAATCTACTTTCCCGAAAAGTAGATAATCTACTTTTCGGGAAAGTAGATACCAACTTTCCCGGAAAGTAGATTATTTCCCATTTTCTATGATACAAATTTCCCGTTTTCTATGATAAGTAGATAACCAACTTTCCCAGAGAATAGATATTTCCCATTTTCTGTGATACAAATTTCCTGTTTTCTATAATAATCTACTTCGCAAAATTTGGTAATATTTCCCCAAAAGTCGATAATCTACTTCCCCGAAAAGTCGATAATCTACTTTCCCGAAAAGTAGATAATCTACGTTTCGGGAAAGTAGATTACCAACTTTCCCGGAAAGTAGATTATTTCCCATTTTCTATGATACAAATTTCTCGTTTTCTATGATAATCTACTTCTGAAAATTAGGTAATAATTGTCAAAAAGTCGATAATCTACTTCCCCGAAAAGTCGATAATCTACTTTCCCGAAAAGTAGATAATGTACTTTTCGGGAAAGTAGATTACCAACTTTCCCTGAAAGTAGATTATTTCCCATTTTCTATGATACAAATTTCTCGTTATCTATGATAAGTAAACAACCAACTTTCTCGGAAAGTAGATTATTTCCCATTTTCTATGATACAAATTTCCCGTTTTCTATTATAATCTACTTCTGAAAATTAGGTAATAATTTTCAAAAAGTTGGTAATCTACTTCCCCGAAAAGTCGGTAATCTACTTTCCCAAAAAGTAGATTATCTACTTTTCGGGAAAGTAGATAACCAACTTTCCCGGAAAGTAGATTATTTCCCATTTTCTATGATACAAATTTCCCGTTTTCTATGATAATCTACTTCTGAAAATTAGGTAATAATTTTCAAAAAGTTGGTAATCTACTTCCCCGAAAAGTCGGTAATCTACTTTCCCAAAAAGTAGATTATCTACTTTTCGGGAAAGTAGATAACCAACTTTCCCGGAAAGTAGATTATTTCCCATTTTCTATGATACAAATTTCCCGTTTTCTATGATAATCTACTTCTGAAAATTAGGTAATAATTTTCAAAAAGTCGATAATCTACTTCCCCGAAAAGTCGATAATCTACTTTCCCTAAAAGTAGATAATCTACTTTTCGGGAAAGTAGATTACCAACTTTCCCGGAAAGTAGATTATTTCCCATTTTCTATGATACAAATTTCCCGTTTTCTATGATAATCTATTTCTTAAAATTAGGTAATAATTTTCAAAAAGTTGGTAATCTACTTCCCCGAAAAGTCGATAATCTACTTTCCCTAAAAGTAGATAATCTACTTTTCGGGAAAGTAGATTACCAACTTTCCCGGAAAGTAGATTATTTCCCATTTTCTATGATACAAATTTCCCGTTTTCTACGATAATCGACTTCTGAAAATTAGATAATAATTTTAAAAAAGTTGGTAATCTATTTCCCCGAAAAGTCGATAATCTACTTTCCCGAAAAGTAGATTATCTACTTTTCGGGAAAGTAGATAACCAACTTTCCCGGATAGTAGATTATTTCCCATTTTCTATGATACAAATTTCCCGTTTTCTATGATAATCTACTTCTGAAAATTAGGTAATAATTTTCAAAAAGTCGATAATCTACTTCCCCGAAAAGTCGATAATCTACTTTCCCGAAAAGTAGATAATCTACTTTTCGGGAAAGTAGATTACCAACTTTCCCGGAAAGTAGATTATTTCCCATTTTCTATGATACAAATTTCCCGTTTTCTATGATAAGTAGATAACCAACTTTCCCGGAAAGTAGATTATTTCCCATTTTCTATGATACAAATTTCCCGTTTTCTATGATAATCTACTTCTGAAAATTAGGTAATAATTTTCAAAAAGTCGATAATCTACTTCCCCGAAAAGTAGATAATCTACTTTTCGGGAAAGCAGATTTTCAACTTTCCCGGAAAGTAGATTATTTCCCATTTTCTATGATACAAATTTCCCGTTTTCTATGATAAGTAGATAACCAACTTTCCCAGAAAATAGATATTTTCCATTTTTTGTGATACAAATTTCCCGTTTTCTATAATAATCTACTTCGCAAAATTTGGTAATATTTCCCCAAAAGTCGATAATCTACTTCCCCGAAAAGTCGATAATCTACTTTCCCGAAAAGTAGATAATCTACGTTTCGGGAAAGTAGATTACCAACTTTCCCGGAAAGTAGATTATTTCCCATTTTCTATGATACAAATTTCCCGTTTTCTATGATAAGTAGATAACCAACTTTCCCGGAAAGTAGATTATTTCCCATTTTCTATGATACAAATTTCCCGTTTTCTATGATAAGTAGATAAGCACATTCAGGAGTACCTATACTGAAATTTTGAACAAAATCCATTTTTTGGCCGAAAATGACAAAAATTGTAAGTCTAAAGCCTTAAAGAATTTTTGGCCAAAAATACTTTTTCTCTCAGAACTAAAATTTAATGTGCCTACCTTCATAAATACACCCAGAATACAAAAGCACCAAGAAATGACCTTGAAAACACAAAATGGCGAGCAATTTGCATTGCAAAAAATAATTAACATTTTCTAAAAGCCACTTGAACAAGTTATAATCAAGATATCAAATTTTGGTTAACAGATCCTTAAGCAGCACATTCAGGAGTACCTGACACACATCGTAAGACACTGACATACATCAAGAGACACTGACATACATCGTAAGACACTGGCATACATAGTGAGACACTGACACTTGTTTCGAGCACATGTGGCCGAACCCATATACGTGCAGGGCTACCAATGCGAGGAATGCCTCAAGGGCCGTTTTGAAACACTTCGTTTGTGGTATCAATTTGCTTCGCGCAGGAATTGTAACGGTAGTATTTTTACCGAGTGTACACTGACCATTTATTTTTTTATTAGTACAAATTAGTTACAATATTATTCATTCCAGGATGGTGACTTGAAGATGGCGGATGCAGACAGTAACAAGCGACGCCAGAGCAAAGTATTTACGGGAAAATTTTATTTTTTTCTTCTACAAAGCACATAGAGACATGAAATTACTTGTACCTGTACTAGTGTACTACCAAATGATCAATTTTTCAGCAGTGATTTACCCCAGAATTTCCTTCACTTTCATTACCTGTCCACAAGTGATTTATGATAAAAGATAGATTTATGGATTGTACTGTAGGCTCAAAGCCAAGCACTGGAGCTAATAAACCATTCTATGCTGTAGATCAAAGATACAGAAAAACGAAAAACAAAAAACTTAAACTTAAGGAAAAAGTTGTTATATCATCTCTTACTTACTGTCATCCAAACAACACCTGTGGAAAATATGAACGAATTCCATAGCTAAGTAATGTCTACTGCTTACCGTTTCCTTTATTGTCGTAATCATTTTTCTTGCTCTAACTCCCTATATACAAGTCACTATAGAATTCTGTAGTTGTAATCTACTGAATCTTTACCATCATAATTCAAAAACTAAGCATTTGGGTAAAGGTGGAGCAGACAACTAACATCAGTTGTAGTTCATTTTTATAGTTTTTCGGTTTTCAGGAAAAGTTCAGCATATTAAAACAATCTCTGCCTTCCCATGATATACTTTTTGTTAATTATTAATAATATTTTGGATTTTTTTTTACTCGTAAATCTTGGAGAAATATGCAGTAATATACTACATGTGTGTGTGTCCAACTATGAGACAGAGGGATGTCTGTAGAAGGAAAGGAGGCGAGGAAGGGAATGGGGGAGGAGAGAGAGAGTTAGCTGTATAAAAGGGGAGAATAACACAACCAGAAGAAACATGTATACAACTTTATTACAAAACAATATAAATTATAAAAATACACGTACCGTACCGGCAACCTCCTCACCATGTTTTGAACAGAATTCTTGTAACAAACACTTCATAGATTCCCGCCACTTCCCATGGGATACAGACACTTTCCTTGGCGCACAGACACTATCCATACACCACAGACACGGTCCACTGACTACAGACACTGCCCACTAACCACCAACACTGGCCCCAGACACTGACCACCAACACTGGCCACATACACTGCCCACTAACCACCAACAGTGGCCACAGACACTGACCACCAACACTGGCCACATACACTGCCCACTAACCACCAACAGTGGCCACAGACACTGACCACCAACACTGGCCACATACACTGCCCACTAACCACCAACAGTGGCCACAGACACTGCCTACTAACCACCAACACTGGCCACAGACATTGCCCACCGACCACCAACACTGGCCACAGACATTGCCCACCGACCACCAACACTGGCCACAGACATTGCCCACCGACCACCAACACTGGCTACAGACACTGCCCACTGACCACCAACACTGGCCACAGACACTGCCTACTGACCACCAACACTGGCCACAGACAATCCTATGACCATCAACACTGACCACAGACACTGTCCACTGGCCGCAGACACTGTCCACTGGCCACAGACAGTCCTCTGACCACCCACACTGGCCACAGACACTGTCCACTGGCCGCAGACACTGTCCACTGACCATATAATAGATAATGGCTGTACGCCCATAGCCACTATTTGCCAACAGATGTTCATCTTTCTTACACCTGCTCCAAGAAATTTCATTATCACAGGTGTGTAGGCTGCGTGAGGAGTCATGTCACGGGTGTTATACTGAGTCGTTAGTGCAGGTGTCCTCCAGCACCTGCGTTGACACCTGTGGAGAAAATATGAGGGAACTAGACAAGTTGTGTTAGCGTATATCTGAGTGAAGTGTTAGTTAACCTGGCAAAATTATTGTGCATTATTCTTGTATTTTTTAATATTATTTGTCACCACTTATCGACTTAATAGCCGTTCGGGCGGCTGAGTTATCATACAGTACAGTATTGGTGAGAGATGCGCGCGTTACCACCAACACATCATCCAGTGATTTTCAGTTATCTATATAATTTATGGTATATTATCTATGACTTGCTAGTTATCATATCTATTATTTTCTATATTTGGGACATGTGGTTTGTTTCGTACGTCTGGCAGCGGGAAGAAGGTAACACGGATCCACTTATTATTTTTATATACAATACTGTATCTATCACTCCCTTTTCTAACGTCTAATATCATTTATCTATTGTATATTGGGATCACCTGAAGAATCTCCACCACAGCCTAATTCACCTAAAGATTAACTACCCCAACGCTAACTTAACCTAACCTCATTTCCCAAACGCTTTCTTAAATTTACTTTAGATTTTTTTTCTTGCCCAGACAATTTTTGGGGAGAAATTTACTTACCCAGATATTTTATTCGAAAAGTTAATTTAAATACTCATCTTAAAAAATCAAATTTATTGTGTGCATTAACTCATAGGTCACTAGTGCCCTGAGGCGGGGCTGCTGGGCACTGCTAATCTGCAAAACACGACACAAACCAACATGTAATCCAAATGATACTAAATGTTATATAATAATTCCTTGAGCTGAATTTACAGGATTTTTCAGGTATTCCGACTCTCACTCGGCCCATTTACCTCAATAATATCGTTGTTATTATTCCCTCTGTGTCTGCTTTTAAGTCTAAGTAAGTTGTATCGATATCATTATAGTATGAATGGGGTGGGGTGAGGGGTTAAGTGTGTGGGGGTGAGTGTATAGGGGAGTGAGAGTGACTGTGTAGGTGTGAGTATGTGTGGGGGTGTAGGGTGAGTGTGTTAGGGAGTGAAGGGTGATGTGTTGCGGAGTGGAGTGAGTGTGTAGGTGTGAGGGGTGAGTGTATGTGGGGGTGTGGGATGAGTGTGTTAGGGAGTGAAGGGTGATTGCGTGGGGGTGAGGGGTGAGTGTAAGTGGAGGTATGTGTGTGTGTGTGTGTGTGTGTGTGTGTGTGTGTGTGTGTGTGTGTGTGTGTGTGTGTGTGTATGTGAGGGGGTGGAGGTTGGGGGTGACTTACCTGGGGGTCGGCCAGGGGGGTGAGGGGAGTGGTGAGAGCAACGAGGGGAGTGATGGAAGTCTCTTGCCAAGGTGTGTCGCTCCCTCTCTCTTCTCCAGAACCCCCCACACAGTACACTGTAGGGGGAACACCTGGTTATAGTGGTGGTGATAGAGGTGATCTTGATGAAATGATGACCAGTGGCAATGATAATGATGATGACAATTATATATATATATGTATATATGTAATGTTTCTCCCAGTTAATTTATTTACATCTCTCTCTCTCTCTCTCTCTCTCTCTCAACATCCCATTAGCCCATAAAGCTCCCCCTCCCCCTTGAACCTTGAGGGTTACCTGATGCACGTGACTCCAAGGTAAGACTTGAGTGACTTGTGGAGTGGTGAAGATCATGGTGGAGCGGCCTGGTGTTGGTGGATGGAGAACCCCCTTCACCAACACCTCCATCTCCCTGCTGGTGGTGCTTCAGTCTCACCACCACCACCGCCAGGGTAAAGAGAAGTAGCAATACGCCCATCCCACCCAGTAAGCCACCCACTAATCCGCCCACTGTGCCGTCTAGCGCTCCCCACAGGCTGTCGTCGATGGGTAGCGGGTCCTCCTGGGCGGGCACAATCGTAGACGGCTCTGTGGGGAAGGGAGGCACGATACACTATGAGTTTATAATGTCATTACTTAATATTAAAGGTTAGGTTAGGTTAGGTTAGGTTAGGTTAGGTTAGGTTATGTTAGGTTAGGTGAGTTTCTTATTAGTCATTACTTAATATTAAAGGTTAGGTTATGTTAGGTTAGGTGAGTTTCTTATTAGTCATTACTTAATATTAAAGTTTATTTATTACTTTGGTTAACTGAAGTGTAGTGATGTTCTTAAGTAGCATAATGGAGTGGTGTATTTAAGTGCTTTGGTGAAGTGTCTAACGCACTTTAGTGATGTACTACAGTAAATAAAGTGACATTATGTAACAAGGTGAAGAAGACGTGCACTAAGACGTGTACTGACGTGTAAGGTGTAGGGAGGGGTGTGGAGGAGGTGTACTGACGTGTAAGGTATAGGGAGGGGTGTGGAGGAGGTGTACTGACGTGTAAGGTGTAGGGAGGGGTGTGGGGGAGGTGTACTGACGTGTAAGATGTAGGGAGGGGTGTGGGCGAGGTGTACTGACGTGTAAGGTGTAGGGAGGGGTGTGGAGGGGTGTACTGACGTGTAAGGTGTAGGGGAGGGGTGTGGAGGAGGTGTACTGACGTGTAAGGTGTAGGGAGGGGTGTGGAGGTGTACTGACGTGTAAGGTGTAGGGAGGTGGTGTGTGTAGGGAGGTGTACTGACGTGTAAGGTGTAGGGAGGGTGTGGAGGAGGTGTACTGACGTGTAAGGTGTAGGGAGGGGTGTGGAGGGGGTGTACTGACCTTTAAGATGTATGGAGGGGTGTGGAGGGGTGCGGGCGTGGAGGCGAAGGGGCTTGGAGCGGGCGTGTGGGGTGACAGCATATAGCATTAACAGAAAGTGTTTGTCAGGAGGAAGGTCGCCCACCGTCAGCTCCGGTCGAGCACTGCTGACGTTGTCTATTAAAGTTCCCTCCGACCATACCTGTGCGTGTGAGAGAAACTGGTGGTGTGAGAGAGAGAGAGAGAAAACTGGGGATAAATATAGACACAGAAGCATCAGAGAACGATAGATATGTAGAAGCACTAGATAGATAGATAGTGAGAGAGACAGATGAATAGAGGGAGAGAGAGAATAGATAAAATTAGATAGAAAGATAAAAAAAAGAAACGAGATGTAAATTTCACTCAATATTTGAAGTTAGAGAAAGAAAGACAAAATAAACCTGTCATATTGGAGCTGTTGGTCACCACTCTTGTGTATCATGGGGAAATATGAGGTATATTGACTCTCTCTCTCTCTCTCTCTCTCTCCACCTTCCATTCCTCAAATTCACAAATAAAGCCAACACAAGATGTTCCGCCATCACCCACAACTTACCCAAGACAAATGATTTTAATCTTGGCCAAACAAAAGTTAGTTGGGCAGAAAATCTCTTGTGGATAGACAGATTGAGTTGAAGGATTCCATCATCCAATTCGTGGTCGTCTTTGTGATTTAGTTTTGACAGATTGACTTTAAGCAATCAGTCACTCAACGATTTGACTGACTAGATATTTAATACATAAATCAATCATTCTTTCAATCTTTTGTGAATCAAATTGTGGATTAAAAGTACATTTAAACAATTGTTTAACCAGTTAATTGTTTAGGTTTCTTGTAAAATCATCAATTTATCCTTCACTTACTCTGTGGATTAAGGAACTTTTAAGGCTTGAATAAGACTTATGTGTGTCCGGTGGATTTTTCTCTAAAGACGCCTTGGAACTAACTGCCTTGGGAACCTGTTCAAGATATTAGTATAAATGTATAATTCATCTCTCCTGGTGGGTTTATACAATGATGTTCACCAAATTTATTCACGAGTATGTATGTACTGTACAGTCGCGGTCACCGGTCCCCCCCTACTGCCATAGTCCATCCACGAGCTCAAGACCTTTTACACGACGGGTCACAAGAGGCTGGGGGAGCTAGGGGTGGCGGACCTGGGTTTCAGATTTCAGATTTGGCCCGCGAGGGGGCTAGTTTATTGGGTACCCCCTTGCATCCTGTGCAAGGCGAAGCGCAGACCTGGGTAGAGTAGGGCACAAGTCAAAGGTAACTTAAGTAGTGAGAGTGTACAGTATGTGGTCTTAGAATTATCCTTAACGCCTGAAGAAGGCGTTAAGGTTGGTGGATGGATGATTGACGTTGATGGCCTTAATGACCCTGGCAGTTGATTGGCCTAAAGCCCAAACAACCAACCAAGCAGGAGGGCGGGTGTCCGGGGAGGCGTCATATGGACTTAACTTTCCATTAGTTATCTATGCCTTTACTTGAGATTCTGCGGAGGAATGGGAGTGAGCTTTTGGCAGGTAATGTGTCATTAGGGTTGATAAGGCGTCTGGCTTCCGTGAGGGAAGCAATTTGCATCGCAAACCGCCCTCCCGAATCCCCCCCCCCCTCAAACAACGGTCCTCCCGCAGGTCAACCATTCCCCCTCTCCACCCCACGTGACTTGTAGCGCAGATAGGACCCCGCCAGGCGCAAGGGTGTCCGAGTATATATCAAAAGTCAGTGCGTGGGCTAAAGATTTTAAACCTAGACGCACGGATATGAATTGTGCTGAATCTCATGCGACCTAATGTTTAAACAAACATGTCATTGCCACTCCTTGTTTAGCGCTTATAAACTGAAATTATATTATATTCCTTAACATATTATCTCGGCTTAAATTTTACATTCTTTCTTTTGTATAATAGTAATGTCAAGACCCTTAGTGACTGAAGTTAAGTCGGTAATTTTTAGTGAGTGAAATCGTTGTGTGAACTGGAAGGTTTTAGTTGCTATGCGTATAATTCATTCATAGTCATTCGGTTTATGTCATCAATTAGCTACCAATCATCGGTAATTTAAGAATTTATCCGCCCTGCAGTCAATCATCCAATTATTCTTCCAATTACACAAATAATTGGCCAGTCGGTCACGCAGTAAACATAATATTCAATCATTCCCTCTTTTTTTTCTCCCCTTATAAATTAATTCCCATTCACGGGGCTATCATCTACTCATTCAGCCATGCAATCATTCAACTCAATTGCAAGCGTATAAACCAATCATCGAAACATAAAAATAATTATCCAATTAACAATTTACCAATCACTCACTCACTCACTCCATCTTTTCATCAAACACTGAGAGTGAAAGTGGCCCGTTTTCTGTGACAGATTGCTGTAGAGTGAAGCGTATACTAATACATTTTACCTCACCGGGACTGTTCTCTCGCCCGAAAATACACGAAAGTCTAACATACACAAGTTTATTTTCTTTCCTGGTATATTCTATTACTATAACTACCTAACATAAGACTCATATCAACAATACACACGCAGAAATGCATAACCACATGATAACACTTCTCTTAACTAATGAATTCTTGGAAAAGTCACACTGGCCCGCGGCGAGTTTATAAATTCTGTAATTACTTAACTTTATACGACATTATTTCTCACTTACTGTAATAACTGTCAAATTACCATGTTGTAGACGCTGTAATAGTAGGGGTGTTTATTACCGTTGTAGTACTAAGCCTGGCGTGTGCCCCAAGACAGCTGTTTCTCCACAGGATACCAACCTGTGTGTGTGTGTGTGTTAGAGGATGTGAATGGTCGTATGTAAGAGGATGTCTGGATGTGAATGGTCGTATGTTAGAGGATGTGAATGATCGTATGTAAGAGGATGTCTGGATGTGAAATGTCGTTTGTTAGAGGATGTGAATGATCGTATGTAAGAGGATGTCTGGATGTGAATGGCGTATGTTAAAGGATGTGAATGATCGTATGTAAGAGGATGTCTGGATGTGAAATGTCGTTTGTTAGAGGATGTGAATGATCGTATGTAAGAGGATGTCTGGATGTGAATGGTCGTATGTTAGAGGATGTGAATGATCGTATGTAAGAGGATGTCTGGATGTGAAATGTCGTTTGTTAGAGGATGTGAATGATCGTATGTAAGAGGATGTCTGAATGTGAAATGTCGTTTGTTAGAGGATGTGAATGGTCGTATGTAAGAGGATGTCTGGATGTGAATGGTCGTATGTTAGAGGATGTGAATGATCGTATGTAAGAGGATGTCTGGATGTGAAATGTCGTTTGTTAGAGGATGTGAATGATCGTATGTAAGAGGATGTCTGGATGTGAATGGCGTATGTTAAAGGATGTGAATGGTCATATGTTGGAGGATGTCTGGATGTGAATGGTCGTATGTTAGAGGATGTGAATGATCGTATGTAAGAGGATGTCTGGATGTGAAATGTCGTTTGTTAGAGGATGTGAATGATCGTATGTAAGAGGATGTCTGGATGTGAATGGCGTATGTTAAAGGATGTGAATGGTCATATGTTGGAGGATGTCTGGATGTGAATGGTCATATGTTAGAGTATGTCTGGATGTGAATGGTCATATGTTAGAGGATGTGAATGGTCATATGTTAGAGGATGTCTGGATGTGAATGGTCATATGTTAGAGGATGTGAATGGTCATATGCTACAGGATGTCTGGATGTGAATGGTCATATGTTAGAGTATGTCTGGATGTGAATGGTCATATGTTAGAGGATGTGAATGGTCATATGTTAGAGGAGGATGTGAATGGTCATATGCTACAGGAGTGTCTGGATGTGAATGGTCATATGTTAGAGTATGTCTGGATGTGAATGGTCATATGTTAGAGGATGTGAATGGTCATATGTTAGAGTATGTCTGGATGTGAATGGTCATATGTTAGAGGATGTGAATGGTCATATGTTAGAGGATGTGAATGGTCATATGTTAGAGGATGTCTGGATGTGAATGGTCATATGTTAGAGAATGTGAATGGTCATATGTTGGAGGATGTCTGGATGTGAAATGTCATATGTTAGAGGATGTCTGGATGTGAATGGTCGTATGTTAGAGAATGTGAATGGTCATATGTTAGAGAATGTGAATGGTCATATGTTAGAGAATGTGAATGGTCGTATGTTAGGGAATGTGAATGGTCATATGTTAGAGAATGTGAATGGTCATATGTTAGAGGATGTGAATGGTCGTATGTTAGAGGATGTGAATGGTCATATGTTAGAGAATGTGAATGGTCATATGTTAGAGGATGTGAATGGTCTCTATGTTAGAGGATGTGAATGGTCATATGTTAGAGGATGTCTGGATGTGAATGGTCGTATGTTAGAGGATGTGAATGGTCATATGTTAGAGGATGTGAATGGTCATATGTTAGAGGATGTGAATGGTCATATGTTAGAGGATGTCTGGATGTGAATGGTCGTATGTTAGAGGATGTGAATGGTCATATGTTAGAGAATGTGAATGGTCATATGTTAGAATGTGAATGGTCATATGTTAGAGGATGTCTGGATGTGAATGGTCATATGTTAGAGGATGTGAATGGTCATATGTTAGAGGATGTGAATGGTCATATGTTGGAGGATGTCTGGATGTGAATGGTCATATGTTAGAGGATGTCTGGATGTGAATGGTCGTATGTTAGAGAATGTGAATGGTCATATTTTAGAGAATGTGAATGGTCATATGTTAGAGAATGTGAATGGTCATATGTTAGAGGATGTCTGGATGTGAATGGTCATATGTTAGAGGATGTGAATGGTCATATGTTAGAGAATGTGAATGGTCATATGTTAGAGAATGTGAATGGTCATATGTTAGAGGATGTCTGGATGTGAATGGTCATATGTTAGAGGATGTCTGGATGTGAATGGTCGTATGTTAGAGAATGTGAATGGTCATATTTTAGAGAATGTGAATGGTCATATGTTAGAGAATGTGAATGGTCATATGTTAGAGAATGTCTGGATGTGAATGGTCATATGTTAGAGAATGTGAATGGTCATATGTTAGAGAAGGATGTGAATGGTCATATGTTAGAGAATGTGAATGGTCATATGTTAGAGGATGTGAATGGTCATATGTTAGAGGATGTCTGGATGTGAATGGTCATATGTTATGTGAATGGTCATATGTTGGAGGATGTCTGGATGTGGTCATATGTTAGAGGATGTCTGGATGTGAATGGTCGTAGATGTCTGGATGTGAATGGTCATGTTAGAGGATGTGAATGGTCATATGATGAATGGTCTATGTTGGGAGGAATGGTCGTATGTTAGAGGATGTGAATGGTCATATGTTAGGGATGTCTGGATGTGAATGGTCATATGTTAGAGGATGTCTGGATGTGAATGGTCATATGTTAGAGGATGTGAATGGTCATATGTTGTTAGGATGTGAATGGTCATATGTTGGAGGATGTCTGGATGTGAATGGTCATATGCTAGGATGTCTGGATGTGAATGGTCATATGTTAGAGGATGTGAATGGTCATATGTTGGAGGATGTCTGGATGTGAATGGTCATATGTTAGAGGATGTCTGGATGTGAATGGTCATATGTTAGAGGATGTGAATGGTCGTATGTTAGAGGATGTGAATGGTCGTATGTTAGAGGATGTGAATGGTCGTATGTTAGAGGATGTGAATGGTCGTATGTTAGAGGATGTGAATGGTCGTATGTTAGAGGATGTGAATGGTCGTATATTAGGAGAGAGAAACGAAAAAAAAAAACACACACACACAAAAAAAAACAAGAGCTAACATCCTATTTTGATCTGCTAATGACGAAAGTTCCATCATTGAAAACTCGTATCTCCTTCAACCAGGGAAACTTTTTCTCGACTTCTGAACTAAAGAAGAAAAAAAAACACTTTACCCCGCCTCTCGTTACGGAACTACTACTGATATTGACTTTATTTACCTGGCTTTATGAGTACTGTAAGTTATAACAGCGAGGTCCTCCAGAGTTGTGAGGTTGTGACAATATATGGTCATCTGTATGTTGTGTCATAACCTCACAACACTATAGCATAACCTAACCTAACCTAACCTTACAACACTATAGTACCATGCTGTCATAACCTTCCAACACTATAGCACCATGCTGTCATAACCTTCCAACACTATAGCACCATGCTGTCATAACCTTCCAACACTATAGCACCATGCTGTCATAACCTCACAATACTATAAGTTCATGTTACATCACAACCTACAACACATAAGGTTATTCACTCTAAACTTCAGCAGGTGAGTCAAACGCCACTGATGAAATGTGCAATTAAAAACTTTGACCGTAAATTTAGGTAACACGTCACCCAAAATAATACTTCTTAAACGAGACATTCACGGTGGCACGCTTGTTAATGGAGGTGTGTCCGCGTTACACAAACCTGTAATACCACACCTGCAACATTTACCTCTATAGCACAACACACCTGTAAGACCACACCTGCAACAATTACCACTATAACAACAACAAACCTGTAAGACCATACCTGAAACAATTACCTCTATAACATAACACAACTGTAAGACCACACCTGCAACAATTACCTCAATAACACAACACACCTGTAAGACCACACCTGAAACAATTACCTCAATAACACAACACACCTGTAAGACCACACCTGCAACAATTACCACTATAACAACAACAAACCTGTAAGACCATACCTGCAACAATTACCTCTATAACATAACACAACTGTAAGGCCACACCTGCAACAATTACCTCAATAACACAACACACCTGTAAGACCACACCTGAAACAATAATGGCTATAAAATTATGAACATTAGCTTGTTGTCACAAACGCTCAATCATAGAAAATGGATATTGCTTATTTTTTTTTTTTTTTTCGGGGAGGGGAAACGATGGAAAATGAACGCATTATGCCTGGCGGGAAATCTAATTATCGGCAGCTTTGGAAATTAACAGAGAAATCATTATTTTCATTTTTTTTCTTCTGTTTCTGGTGTGTGAGGGAGACTGACGGACTGACACACCGATGATTGAAAACGCCATCTGTTGATTTGTTGCGACACAGTGACGTATATGATGGCTATATATCGACTGAAAGTAGAAACTTGTGTGTGTGTATGTTTGTGTTGTCACCATCAAAACATATATCAATATAGCAAATAAAATATTATCACCGCCAAAATATTGACGAGGAGTTCAACGAAATTCTTATAGCCGCTAAAATTATTGACCATTGCGGCAACCGAACTATTATGATCGCCAAAATACCGACCAGAACGGCAGTTAATCGCTTAAACTCCATCATTTACTGGTTACTGTGATCAGAATTATTTTTATGAATTATTACATAGCTGCTGTATAATTATTGGTGATAATCATGACCATCCAAGTGATAATCACATAATTACAGGTGAAATTAATCGGGATAATCGTTATTCGAATTATTGATTAATTACATTGAACCGTTTGGATCATAGGTGTGATTGACCTGTGACATTCAATGTGACCTTGTGTGACTCTGAGTTGACCTCTAATAAACCTAGATGACTGTGGTAAGTTTAATTGGTGACTTACAGTGAATTACAATAACCTTCAGTAATTTGCAGTGACCTTTAGTGACCTGCCATGATCTTCAATGACCTTCAGTCAGTCAGTGATCTTTCGTGTCCCGCCATGACCATTAGTGACTTACGATGATCTTCAGCGACCTACGATGACCTACAATTACCTATGATTACCTTCAGTGACCTCTGTGCTCACCTCCAGGTTGGTGCTGGGTCTGACCCCGGATGACCTGACGAAGCTTATACCTGGGGCGTGGTGAACCTGTGTCAACTCCTGCTGGTCACTCTCCGTCGGTGCCAGGTCATGACACTTAACCTCCAACCGGGTCAACCCCACGACTGTGACGTTGCAGTCCCGGAGTGGCTGAGGTGGATCTGTGGACAACCAATCAAGGACAAGGATTTAGTTTTTGTGGTGTTGGTGGTGGTGATGGTGGTGGTGATGGTGGTGGTGATGGTGATAGTTATAGTAATAATGATGGTAGTGGCTGTGTTGGTGGTTGGTGATGGTCATGGTGGTGGTGATGATGATGATGATGATGGTGGTTATAATGGTGGTGGTGGTGATGGTCATGGTGATGGTGGTGGTGATGATGGTGGTTGTAATGGTGGTGATGGTTATAGTGGTAATGAAGGTGGTGGTGGAAGGGGAAGGTTGGGTAAGTAAAACAGTGTGTGATAAATAACGATGATGATGGTATAATGAATCAGCGCTGGTAGAGAGAGACTCACCCACAAGACTCAGCAGATAAGTACACGGTATAGTCGTCCTCCCGACCTTGTTCCTGGCGTAGCAGAAGACCTGTGCCGGGGAGGTGGGCGTGAGGGTCACACTTGACTTCCTTGGGTCATGAGGGTGAACCTGATGCTCCAAGATCATCCCCTTTGTCGCCCCGTCCCCCAGGTGTTCCCCCCAGACGTCTTGAACGTCCCCCGCGGGGCCAGAAGACGGGGAAACACCGGGTGGATGTCCTGGGGTGAGATCAATTAGCCCCGGGTGATGAGGAGGTGGAGCGTCCCCGGTGATAATCCCGCCCCGGAGGTCCTTGTGGGCGTCCTGGTGGTGTGTGGGCGGGTCAGCAAGCGTCCAGGTGAAGGTTAGGTGGGCAGGGAGGGCGTCCATCTTGCAGGTGAGGGTGACGGAGGTGTTGACGGCCACCACCACCTGCTGCTCACCTGAATCCTGGCATTGTGGGGGATCTGTGTAGGGAGAGGTGAGGTGTGTTAAGTCTTCGATCTCTCTTATTATTTCTCACTATTTACGTTCCCTTTTTCTCCTATTGTCTTCTCTCAATCTACCTTTCTCTTTGACTCCCTTCTTTCTCTCTTTCTTGTTTTCTGTCTCTTTTTCGTTCTCTCTCTTCCTCTAATAGATCAAAATCCCAGCTAGGTAATAAAACAAACAACTATAATATCAGAAAATAAAACCCCGATTTATAACTCAATTAACTTTAAATCGGCTTTTTGTATGTTTTTGGTTGTTCTTCACCTGGATTTTACGATAATTAAAAATTGTGTCTATTTCCGGGTCGTGCCGCTATGAAACCTGGCGAAATAAACTGGGTTGTGTAGTGTTGATGCGAAAATATTGCGTTTTTGTTTTGCTTTTGTTTTACTTTTATTTGGCGTCGTCTTGTGCTTGAGTAATTATGTTGATTTTTTTGTGAGTACAGATGGTTATTGTTTTTCTCTTTATTTCTTAATTATCACTCCCTTTCTCCTATTCTCCCTTCTACCCTCTCTCCACCATAATTCCTTCCCTCCCATTCGTCCTACAGCCCTCCCTCCACCATTTCTTGCCTCACACCACCTCTCCACCATAACTCCCTCCCTCTCTCCCTCACACTACCCACAAACCTGACCTGAGGGAACAAATATCTGGTAAATAGCATCCCGTTAAATCATTCCTTTCATCGACGAGGTTGAACGAGAGGATGCAATTTACCTCAAGCATCTCAGTGTAATTCCGGCACCATTTAGGGCTCCCATCTGGGTGCTGTTAAGCAAGTGAGCCAGTTAGATAATGTCTGGGGAGAGATTTCGAATATTTGAGGTTTTTTAGAGTAGCTCCATAGTGTGTGTGTGTGTGTGTGTGTGTGTGTGTGTGTGTGTGTGTGAGGAAAATTACAAGTAAAGTATTCTGAGGATGTGAAAACAAGCGAGTGAACTCAAACACTTCAAACAGAATCAAGTTCTTAAAAGAGTTAGTGTGTGTATGTGTGTGTGTGTTGAGGGAGGAGGCGCCACCATCACGTTGCCACACGCTGAGGGAAAAAACTGGTACACGGATTATGATTCTAGTAACTGAGCGCCAAGGCAGCATTTAGGTTGACGGAATTTTGTTTGATGGAATAGTCACTGCCAAGTGGGAAAGAGATAGCCAGTCGCTGTTGATAGCTCGTGCTGGCGATGTTTTTACGTTACGAACAATACAACAATGGTCGGATTCTTCTATTCCTCAAAAGCTCGCTCTCCCTTACTTTAAAACTAGTGCCAGCTGGAGCAATGGACAGCGCCAGGAGGTACAATCTGTCTCGCAATAACACACTTACGAGGTGAGATCTAAACCAGACGTGAGTTCGTCAGCTCTCTGGCGCAAATCTCGTTTTTTATTTTAAAAGTAAATCATCCAGGTACACACACACACACACACACACGTACGGGTACTAATAACCATATTCCATTAACTCGCTGGAGAAGATAAGAATTGGCAACAACTTCTAAGGTCACGAGTTCATCTTAAGGTCACAGTGGTCCCTGGCTGTTATGTCACTGGAAGAATCTTAAACATGAAAGAGAGAGACAGAAAGAGAGAGAGAGGGGGGGGGGGATGTTACGTACGGGCGACCTGGAGGAGTAGGGCGTTTGAGTGTCCATCACCTTCAGAGTTGGAGGCCAGGCAGGTGTAGAGGCCAGCGTCCCCCCGCCTCACCTGAGAGACCTGTAGCTGCCAGTCATCCCTCCGCCACCGCCGACCCCCTTCACTCACCACCCGACCCTGGAGCAAAGGGATAGTCTCAAAACTTAAATGATAAAAAGGGCGTTTCCTTATGTCTTAGGGGGTAGAAAGGGTTTTTTATAGGTTCCAACGGCAGGATTAAGGAATTTCTCAGGTCTAGGGGCAGGAATAAGGGTTTTCTCAGGTCTAGGGGTAGGAATAAGGGATTTTCTCAGACATTAAGGGCAGGAAAAACGCATTAAATACTGACCTTAAAGAGCCAGTGGTTGATACTTCCTGCGGGTCGCAATACTCACATTATGGAGCCAGGTGACGTTGTAGGCCGGGGGGTGGGCAGTGACGGTACAAAGGAAGGTAAGGTCACTGCCTTCCGTCACCAGGTAACCCGTCTCACTCTCCGTCACCTGGCTGCCCCAAGCTGTGATTCTCGCCTCAGGCACATCTGTAGCGGCAACACCTTCATGTGACGAGTGGTTGAGGTGAACAAGTCTTTACTACTACTACTTACTTTTTTTTATAATGGCCTCCATCCTCCCCTTATAGCCATACCTTCTCCACCATTTTATTACCTTATTATTAAATATCATAATACATAAGTAGCTATCCTAGCTGTGTTGAGTTAGTTGAGCCGAAGATCTATGCAGCATTCAGTGACTGTTGCCTCATAGTCAATATCTGCAACTGTTGTCGGCTTTGGGGCCGATGCTCTCGTTCCCCTGAGGCAGAGCAAAGCCGACCTAAGGAGAGAGAAGGACAGTCGACATCCCATCCAGGCTGTAACATAACTTCTGGGCTGCTGCCTCTGTTCGGAGATCACCTCCGCGAGTCTGACGTAGAATCATCTTGCACTTGGTCCCATCCCACCAGCGGTTGTGAACACTAGAGGAGTGAAGCTCCTTATCTTGTCGTTCTCGTTCCTCCTGTGTGCAGCATCAAGAGCTAAGTTACGGTGACATGCGGCCATGGGATAAAAAATCCTGATGTCGAAGAAGGTTTGCTGTCCCCGCGTCCAGAATCCTAGAGCACTGACGTCAACACGGGCTTCGTTGGATGTGTTTGAAGTCCTATGGTGGAAATTCTCACCGTCCAATGGAAGGAGGGTCGGTTCTACCCTGACATCACGGCAGATTTCCTTCAACATATTTGCTGTGAGATCCCTTACTTCGTCATGCCTCATGCATATGAAGCCCCTTTTCTTGCACACCATGGCGTGATCAACGTCATAGGAAGAGCCACACACGCATTGGGAGGGCAAATCATCTACTGGCCTACCGTACCTTAGAGTATTGGCATCTGTAAATTCTTATTTATTGAGACTGAAACCATTTGCCCTTATCGGTAACGTAGTTAACCAGTTCGAGGCGCCCACCTCCTGTGCTATAGCTACTTTTTTTTTCAAATTCTCTGGTACTTGCAGCAACAGTTGCTGCAGCTTATCACTTTGGCTGTGCTGTCGTTCTGTCGTAATGGACCTTCGAATCTTGTTTACTTCACTGGTAACCACCTCCCCTGTTGCGTTCTGAGCTATTATGTGGTCCATTCGTAAAGTATAGTTTATATAACAACTCTTAAATGAAACATCTCATTTATATAACCCTGCTCTAACCTACCATAACAAACGTACAGAATTCTCTACTATAAGAGCATCCCTAATGGCTGTAACACAATACGTAACATAACACCTCCACAACATAGCACCCTTTGTAACATAATATAACGTGTCTTAAAACTTGTAACGTAACACTTAACATATTAACATACTTACGACTTTCAATTTATACTTACGGGTTGTATAAAATATTTCAACCGTTTATAAATGCAAATGGATATATGATGAACCTATATTTTTTCCATATGCTGTTTGTTTTAGTAAGTTAAAACAGACAGGCATAGAGAGAGAGAGAGAGAGAGAGAGAGAGAGAGAGAGAGAGAGAGAGAGAGAGAGAGAGAGAACAGAACGATAGACAGACAGATAGATAAATAGATAGATAGATAGATAGATAGATAGATAGATAGATAGATAGAAAAACAGATAGATCGACAGATAGATTGATTGATTGATTGATTGATAGATAGATAGATAGATAGATAGATAGAATATGAGCGTGTTCAGAATATGGAATATGAAAGACTGATAAAGGACGTGTATGATCGAGAGGAGCAACAGAAAGGAAGAGGTGGGAGAGGAAGGAAGAAGAAGGATGGAGGGTGAAGGATGGGTGGGAGAGGAAGGAAGGAGATGGAAGGGTGAAGGATGAGTGGGAGAGGAAAGAAGGAGATGGAAGGATGGAGGGTGAAGGATGAGGAAGCATGAGATGGAAGCAATAGATGAAGGAGAGAAGGATAATATTGGAGGGTGAAGGATGGGTGAGAGAAGAGGGGAGGAGTAGGAGAAAGAAGGATAGTTAAGGAAGTAAGAGAAGAGAGAAGCGATGTGCGTGAAGGAGAGGACACCATAGCGTCCAGTGATCTTTATTGAAACGTCACAACATTTAGACTGAAAGGAAGAAAATGAGGAAAAAAGTGATTAGAGACAGTAGTATATATTTGTCTCTTTTTCCTGCCACACTGATCCAAGCACATTTAGAGTGTCGAGTTCAACCCCAGATGGTAAGGCCCTCTTTATCAGTGTGTAAGAGAGAGAGTATATATATATATATAAGGTATATATATATAGAGATATATATATATATAGAGGCAAGGCAGAGTGAGTAGAGAGAGAGAGAGAGAGAGAGAGAGAGAGAGAGAGAGAGAGAGAGAGTAGAGAGATTTAACCATTCAGCACATACAAAAACATACAGTAATAATTGGTTTCAAGAGCTATTTTGAAGATAATGAAAATATTGATACAATAATAAAATACTCGTATTTATTGTCAACGCTGTAGAAACATGACACCTGTTTCCATGCTGCGACACACCTGCTGGCCAGCGACACACCTGCTTCATTATGACATCTGTTTGGCTGAAGATGGATACCCGTTTGGCTGCGCACACACCCGTCGGCTGGCGACACTCCGTCGGCCATGACACCTGTTTGGCTATGACACACCTGTCGGCCATGACACCTGTCGGCCATGACACACCTGTCGGTTATGACACACCTGTCGCATGCGATAATAATTTCGTCGGCTATGACATACCCGTTTATTATGACTCCGTCGAAGGCGACATACCCGTCGGCTGCGACACACCCGTCGGCCAAGACACCTGTCGCACAAGGATACCTGTTTGCCAGACATACCTGTCGGCCAAGACATCTGTCGGTTATGACACACCTGTCTGCTGATGACATACCTGTCGGCCAAGATACACCTGTCGGCTGGCGACACACCTTACCCACAAGACACCTGTCGGAGGACATTAAATGCAAAAATAAACATCTCATCTATTTTTTCCAGACCAACACAAATTATGTATACAAAATACCTTAATTTACTATTTGAAATTATAAAGGCTCAATAATTATTAGATGATCATTAATGCATATCACCAAAAAAATGTAAAATTTTCTTATTGAAAATTTTTTCTGGTATTTTCAGACACAAAAAGAGAGTTATGATGGCTGTGATTGCTCTGATTAACTGGGATTAACTAGCGAAAATTTGAACCTTTTTGGGGTGAACTTTTGCAAAAAATGTTAATAATAATAGTTGGAGTAGTGTAGTCTATTGATAAGTTGTGGTTCCTTGCCTGAAAGAATTTTATATTATCTTGAAATTTTTGTTTACGCTAAAAGAAAAAAAACACTTCGAGTGGATACAAACCTTGCCAGTTAACCGTTATCATGACAGGGCAAAAAATATTGAAATAAAGACGCCGTTTCTGTTATATTACCGTAGTTACCGCTGGAGACTGTTTCATGTCATCGTTTTCTTTAACCCACCAAATAAAACCCACGTGTTATCAGTGCATGAATCTTTACCATGGCAATACTTGGTCCATTTCAGCTGATTTGTACCAAAAGTTTATCACATCAACCTTATCACACGGTGGGTAGAGATAGACAGAAAGACATATTAACAGAGAGGACGAAAATAATACCCTGTCCCTCAGTTGTGGGTTACGGAAGTGATACTACTACTGATAATAATAATAATGACATCTCAACAGTACAGGTTAAAACTACAAACAATATTTTATGTCTATGCTCATTATGTTTAACGTAATCCATAAGCTCAGGTTACTGACTCGTTCTCACACACTCTCTGTATATCTCTCAAAACTGCACACACACACACACACACACACACACACACACACACACACACACACACACACACACACACACACTATTTTATATGCATGTATAATTATAGATATATTGTACAGTATATTGAGAGAAAACGATACATATCTAATAGGATTGTAAAATATTTTGCCCATAAAATTAAAAATTCAATACTTTTATTTTTCTTTCTTATTTAAATGCAATAGTCCATGACAATAACAATATTTCTTGGAAATCTATGTTTATATTGGACAGCTCTGAAAATGTAATCCGTTTTCTTATGAACTGTTTCTCTCTCTCAGGTGTGACTTAAGGAAATTGAACACCAATATTGATAGTCACATTAATAATAATCAGACAGTCATTATTATCTTCTCTACTAATTCTTTATCACATTTTGCTCCACATGTCTTTCTATTTCATTATCTGCCTAGGTCAAGTATTTATCAATTATACCCTATTTCTCATCTTTCATGGCCATACTTTGTTATTAATTCCACAGTATTTCCTTTTTTCTGGTGATCAGGGAAGGACTTCGTAAAAGATAAAGAGGATAGGGTGAACGAGGTACTTACGAAACATTGTTATAGTAGTGGAGACGTCGGTGATATTGGCAGCGACGTGGGTGTGGGCGTGGGTAGTGAGGCGGCAGGTGAGGTGGGCGTTGTGGTGATGGTGCTGCAGGCCGTCTATCTCCAGCAGGTTGGTGACCACGCCTGCGTCTGCTACCTCCCACGAGTCGTCCATCTCTACTCCATCCAGTAACCACACCAGTGACACAACCTTGGCTCCTCCTGATGGTGACAGACATGGTGTGTGTGTGTGTGTGTGACGTCCTTAGCATCCTGACGTCACCATCCATGGAAGCTGATTGGTTGTTGATTGTCAAGTAATTCAGGCCTTTACACTTTAGTAACCAATCAACGTCCAAGAATGGTGACGTTAGATTGATTAGAACGACAGAATAATAGGGTTAGTTTAGGTTAGGTTAGGTTAGGTTAGGCTAGGTTAGGTTAGGTTAAGTTAGGTTAGGTTAGGTTAGGTTAGGCTAGGTTAGGTTAGGTTAAGTTAGGTTAGGTTAGGTTAAGTTAGGTTAGTTTGGGTTAGTTTAAGTTAGGTTAGATATAAAGCAATCCACTTAAAACATCCTGATAAAAACAGTGCGTTGTAAGTAAACAGACGGACGAACAGACAGACAGGCCTAGGTGGATTTATGCCATAATCAATATATACATCTGACAGCGGTGTATATTTACTGAACAATTTACACAGTAATTCATTTGTTTATTATGATCAACATTATTTCAACATCCATCCCCGGTATAAGAACTGACCCTAAGCTTATCTACTTTTTGTCTATCTATCTATCTATCTATCTGTCCGTCTGTCTGTCTGTCTGTCTATCTATCTACCTATCTATTTATCTATATATCTATCTACCTATCTATCTGTCTGTTTGTCAATCTATGTATGTATGTATGTATGTATGTATCTGTCTATCTGTTTGTCTGTCTACCTATCTATCTATCTATCGATCTATTTATCCATATATATCTAACTACCTATCTATCGATCTGTCTGTCTGTCAATCTATCTATATATGCATCTATCTATTTATCTATCTATCGCCTGTCTGTTTATCTATCTATCGTCTCTCTATTTATCCCCTTACACCTAACTACGTCACCCTCACACTGTAGCGTCCATCTCCCTCATACACTTAAGTGGACCAATAGCGAGCGAGCCAGCGGCCCTAAATACGTTAACTACCTCTCTATCCATCCATCTATCTGCATAATGATGGCGTCAGTCACCAATCTGCATAATTACCTATTCTCTCATTTATCTAATTACACACCTTAATGGTCTGGGTTATTCTCACCAGCCTTTATCACCGTGTTTCACCAATACTTTAGTCACACCGATGATTTAGTCACTAGTTTTATATTGGTCTGGTGAATGGTTAGGTTAGGTTAGGTTAGGTTAGGTGCAATACTGAAGCACTTTGATATATTAATACAACAACAACAACAGCAGCAGCAAGAGCGACAACAACAACAATAGCCAGTGGGGTGATGAAGGATGCACGATGGACAAGGCTCAGCTGTTGCAACTTGCAATATATTGTTGCAATCGTGTTCCTTCATGACTAACTGAGCCAGCAGTCACCCAAGACTTGATTTCCCTCCACCTTCACCTCCTCTTCCTCCTCCTCTTCTTTTTCCTCCTCCTCCACCACCACCATCATCCACCATAACTAATATCAGTATTATAATAGTTGTCCCTCGGGTAACGAGGATGGCCGGCCCAAGGGCCACCTAGGCGTGAATTTGTTTAAGGTGTAGAAGCTGTCTCCAACACAACAACCACACCATAAGTTAACGAGCTGCAGGACCCAGTGTCAAGGAATAGTCCGAGAAGACCTGACAACTCGCCAACTGTACTGGCTAACCATTGCCCCGGAACACGATCCGCAAATCGATTAACATCCAGGTACCCAATTACTGCTGGGTAGACAGAGGCAAATGGCGTAAAGAGACTTGCCCATAGTTTCACCCTGCCCGGGATCGAACCCGGGTCTGTTCGCTTGGGAGGGGAGCATGCTGACCATTACACCACAGCATATCACCATTGCTCCATCAACACAACCATCATCCTCACCACCACCTATATCAATCACCTCCACTACCATATCCATCACCACTAAAATATCCACCACTACCATCATCACCATTATCAGCACTACCACCATTCACTACCACCATCACCACCATCTTCCTCCTTCCCTTCATTCCTTCTCTCCTTATCTCCTCCCTCCCTCTTTCCTTTCACCTCCCTCCCTCCTCACCTCCCTCAGTACTCACCATAATGGGCCCTACACGCCAGCCTGAGCTTGTGCCCGTGAGAGAAGGGTCCCAACGTTGTTCCCTCCACTGGCCGGCCCGTCCCGTCCACCAGCTCCAGCCCGGCCACCGATTCTGTCAACCAGAAGAACAGAAATTGGTTGTGTGTGTGTGTGTGTGTGTGTGTGTGTGTGTGTGTGTGGAAACATCTCTCATAATGTGCACGTAGCAAGCTTATATACATCATGTTAAAATATGAGAATCAGAGAGAGAGAGAGCCACGAAACGTTTTGTCAACACAACATTCGTGAATCTCAAAATGGGCTTCAGGCGACGACACATCTGACGTAAAGTGCTGCAGAATTTAGAGGAAAATGTTGAGATAGCCAAGAGAGAGAGAGAGAGAGAGAGAGAGAGAGACCCACAATAAGGCAGCTGTAGTATTTGTAAGTCCCGTTTTCTTTGGTCAAGAAGCCAATAACACAGAACGCTCTCATATTTAGGGGCAAACTTTGGTAATGTGGAGGAGTCCTCTCGGCTCTTCCCACAAGTGGAAACGACGTGCCTTTTTTTTTTTTTTAAGTCTGCGTTTCATTTTTTCTTTCACAAACTGAGCTGTGAGAGGTCGATGGTCTTGACAGGTGACAGCCAGAGGTGTAATGTGCCTCAATCTCTTTGTGGTATAATATAGAATTACAGGAAGAGCTACACGTACAAGAACAGGTACACGTTATAGATATACGTACAGGTTACAGATACACATATATAGGTACCACAATATATGAAGGTGCAGATACAGTAATTACAAAGATACAAGTACAGATACAAATACTTGTTTAGGAAAAGACAATAAGTTAAGTTACAGGTATAATTACAGGTGGCGGTACAAGGTGACACACACACACACACACACACACACACACACACACACACACACACACACACACACACACACACACACACACACACACACACACACACACACACAGACACACACAAACACACATACACACACACATCATCGAGTTACGTCGTCTTTAAACACACTAAGTGAAGGTTCCTGTAATACTCCCTTTGTATTTTATTGTGGGGAATAAGTAATGAGTGGGAGAGAGAGGAGAAGGAAAGGAAGTGAGGAGGAGAGGAGAGGAGAGAGACGAGAGGGAGGAGGGAGAGGAAAGGGAGGAGGAGGAGGAGAGGTAGGAAGACAGGGCGAAGACAGGGAGTTGGAGTAGGAGAGATGAGTAAGAGGAGAGGAAGGGAGGATAGGAGAGGATGAGAAAAGAATGGAGGAATAGTGGGAGAGAGGAAGGAGGAAGACACAAGAGATGAGGGGAGAGGGAGGAGAAAAGGGAGGGAGAGAGAAAGAGGGAAGTCACACGGGATAAGAGAGGGAAGAAGGGATGGGGGGATGGCATAGGGAAGTAGGAGAGATAGAGAGAGTAAGGGAGAAGTAGGAAAGGAGCAAAACAAGAACGAAGGAAGAGGGGGAGGGAGGATAAGGGAAGGAGGGGAGGGAGAGGGAAGGGAGAGAGAATATTGGTATGGAGGCTCCTGATCATTGCTAAAGCAGGTTCAGTCAAGTGGGTACAGCGGGTACAGTCAAGTGGGTACAGCAGGTACAATCAAGTGGGTACAGCGGGTACAGTCAAGTGGGTACAGCAGGTACAGCTCGACTGTAATCAGGGACGTAAAATACAAAACAAAACAAAATTCCCGGGAGACTTAGTCCTAAAAGTGGCAGTGATAGATGGGAGGGAGGGAAGGGAGAGAAGGTAACAGGGGGAGAAGGGAAGGAGAGAAAAGAAGAAGAAGAAGAAGAAGAAGAAGAAGAAGAAGAAGAAGAAGAAGGGGAAGTGAGGTATATGGAGAGATAGGTGGGAGAGAAGTAGGGGACAAAGAGAGAGAGAGAGAGAGAGAGGTAATGATCAGTCGTGTTGCTCTAGTTTGAGTTGATGGTGAGGTTTGAGGGGTTGTGTTCTCTCCCCTCACCCTCTCCCCTCACCTCCTCACCCTCCTTCTCTCCCTCGTTATCACCTAAGGGCAAAAGGTAACCTTGTTTATGGACAGAGAGAGAGAGAGAGAGAGAGAGAGAGAGAGAGAGAGAGAGAGATGTGTATAGAAAGTTGTCGGACAAGCCCTAGGGAAAAGCATCCACCTCAGAAGAGAAAGTTCCTGAGCATACGTAGAGAATATTGATATAGTGAAAGCTGTCACGTACTTTGTCCTGATAGGCTGCCGTACGTTAGAAAGTTTCCAAAAGTTAAGGAGGGGAGAGTAAAGGAGAGTGAAAGTTGAAATATATGAGAGGACAGGTGAAAGTTGGGAAATAGCAGAGGACAGGTGAAAGTTGGGAAATAGCAGAGGACAGGTGAAAGTTGGGAAATAGCAGAGGACAGGTGAAAGTTGGGAAATAGCAGAGGACAGGTGAAAGTTGGGAAATAGAAGGGGGAAGGTGAGAAGGGGAAAGTATGGAGAGTGGTTGATTAATTTTAAGTAGACTTTCTCTACGAGTGAAAGCTGAAATTATACCCACATTGAATAAGAGACTTCCTTGGGGGTATAATTTAGAGAGAGAGAGAGAGAGAGAGACAGAGAGAGAGAGAGAGAGAGAGAGAGAGAGAGAGAGAGAGAGAGAGAGAGAGAGAGAGAGAGAGAGAGAGAGAGAGAGAGAGAGAGAGAGAGAGAGAGTGTGTGTGTGTGTGTGTGTGTGTATGAAGAAATAAAGGGCCAGTTTAAATTTAAAAAATAATAATATTTTTTTTTAATGAAAGGTTGTGAGAATCTACAAATAAGACAACTTTTTTTTTTGGTCTCAGTTATGGAGAGAGTTGATGACAGTTGAAAACACTCTACCATGTTTTTAGAGGAAAAGTTCCGAATAATTGACCATAAGACACACACACACACACACACACACACACACACACACAAAACAATTCATTCACAAAAGCCTTGTAAACTTTCCCTGCTGGTCTCCCCCCGACCTCGATCACGCCACCTGAACATTAACCCAGTGTTGCATAAAGTTATGACTCTCTAAATACTCAAACAACTACGACACAATTTTTTCTTCGTGACATTTACTGTTAGCAAACTGTTAATAAAAGATAAACATACTTATATATTAACATAAATATTAACCTAACGCTGTAAAAGGTTATAGAGATATACTACATTTTCTCTACAACATAAACCTGATGTAAGGCAAAAGGCATAAAGTTGAGAAAGTGTTAACATAATGGGTTCAAATTGCCTGAATTGTAGTGCGGTGAAACTTCTATATAACGGACTTCCCTCTCCATATAATCCGTTAGAGGAAGATGCCACATATAACGGACTCCAGATATAACGGATTTTCCTCTCCATACAGTCCGTTAGGTTAGAGGTTCCACTGTATCTGTATTAGTGTTTACGGAAACATTATGCAACAATAACAACGACGTTTATTACCGGAACTGGCTGTTAGAGTTAGTTTAACAAGGTAGTTGAAGCGTGACCTCTCTTGCTTCATTATGCATACGTGACATTACACACTGACGAGGATACAGTGGCTGTCTCAAGCATTTTCATACATGCATACATGAATACTGAAACACGTATACACACACACACACGTATGAACACACACGGGGGCATGCATGCACATACACATACCAACCCAATCACACACACACACACATCAACCTCCTCACACACACCCCAAAACACACACACACACACACACACACACACACACACACACACACACACACACACACACACACACACATACACACACACTAATTATTATCCACGCTAGACAGATCAAGACACTTGTTATGCATAGGAATAGACAGTGACCACGTACAAGTGTTAACAGACAGACACACTGACCATGAAGAGAGAATGACAGACAGGCAGACAGACAATGAAGAGAAGACAGACAAATAGACAGACAGAGAAACACACAGACAGATAGACCATGAAGAGAATAAGACAGACAGACAGACACACTGACCATGAACAGTAAGGAGGAGTCTCTGGGTCCAGGAAGGAGAGAGACGGTAATGTACCCGACAGCGATACTCAGCCGTGTCCTTCAGCCCGACCTCCTGCACCACAAGGGCCGTGCCTCCCCTCTCCAACCACACCCTGCCCCGCCTCACGCCGCCCCTTCCCGAGCCCTTCCTCCCGACACCCTTGCCGCTGACGCCACCGCTGCTGATATCTCTGCTGACGATGGCGTTGTCAGTTTCGTCGCTGAAGCTGACGGGGCCGCCTCTCTCCACGTCCTCACGAGCGTCGAAACTGTGGAACATGAAGTGAGGATGATGTTAAGGTGAGAAAGACAGGGAGAAAGTCTTTTAGAGAACTTGATATCCTCTTGTGATGTTGAGAAAGTTAAAACTGGTCTACTTGTTTTACGTTTTATTGTATTAAAAAATATACCCCCCCCCTCCCTCCCCCCCCCAAGCAAACATCATACTCATTGTACAAAATATTGAATAATTCGGTCAACAATAATTCACTAATCATCAAATGAATAAAAAAAAATATATTCTTTATTCATGACCAAATGAATTAAAATATGTATCTTTTATTAGTGATCAAATTAGTACAATATAAGGTTTTTATTCACGATCAAATGAATAAAAACATAAAAAAAACAGCATTCCTTATTTATCTTAACAAAACAGAATGGTGTAAAATATCCCGTATGACGTCATAGGAGGAAACAATGTATTTAATTGTTCACAAAAGAATAAAAATTATCTATAAGAAAAGATTGTGGATTTTACCTGCCCAGCGCACCTGCCTTGTGCTGTGTACCTCCAAGTGTGTGTGTGTGTGTGTGTGTGTGAGGGGGGGGAGGGTAGAGAGGAAGGGGAGGAAGAGCTGTGGTAATCAAACAACTAAAAACAAAACAATTAAAACAAAACAACAACCAAACGAGACCATGGGCCAGGAATTAGTCACTGTGCGAGTCCATCAGTAAAAGTATCCCTCGGGTGTAAACAACAACATCAGATGAGTCAGGTGTACCGGCTAATTGACCATGACATGCAGGAAGCTTAAACTCATACGTAGAAAGATACACGAAGCTTAGATTATACATTTAAGCTGGGGAGAGAGGTTTGAGGCCGTAACTAAGCTGAGGTAGAGGTTTGAGGCCGTAACTAAGCTGAGGTAGAGGTTTGAGGCCGTAACTAAGCTGAGGTAGAGGTTTAAGGCCGTAACTAAGCTGGGAAGATGTTTGAGGCCGTAACTAAACTGATGGAGAGGTTGGAAGTAGTATCTAAGCTGAGGGGGAGGTCAGAGTCCGTAACTAAGCTGAGGGAGAGAGGTTAGAGTCCGTAACTAAGCTGAGGGGAGGTCAGAGTCCGTAACTAAGCTGAGGGAGAGAGGTTTGAGGCCGAATTTAAGCTGAAGGAGACGTTAAAAGCTATAACTAAGCTGAGGGAGACGTTAGAAGCCATAACTAAGCTGAGGGAGTGGTTAGAGGCCGTAACTAAACTGCTGGAGAGGTTAGAGGCCGTATCTAAACTGAAGGAGAGAGGTATGAAGCCGTAACTAGGCCGATGAAAAACTTAGGGTTGAGGAACCATCTGACGAGACGAAGCAGAGACTCACCTGAAGGAACTAATCACCCGACGACACCTTGGCTCACCTAAAGAAGGAACTAATCACCCGACGACACCTTGGCTCACCTAAAGAAGGAACTAATCACCCGACGACACCTTGGCTCACCTAAAGAAGGAACTAATCACCCGACGACACCTTGGCTCACCTGAAGAAGGAACTAATCACCCGACGACACCTTGGCTCACCTGAAGAAGGAACTAATCACCCGATGAAGAAATGACTCACCTGAGGAAGGGCCTGGAGGTGTGGTTGAGGTACCAGAGAACGAGGCTGATGGAGTCGTCGGCAGGTCGTGGGTACTGGCAGGGTAGTCTGGCAGTGTCGCCCAGCGCTACCCTGAGGGCCACCAGCGGTCCTGTTGTGGTCGCGTTATAATATATTACTGACTTTCAACAACTAACTGAGGTCTTTAAACATTATGGTAATTATAGATCAGTACATACACTAGTTATCAACTATTAAAAACTTTGAAAGATAATAATAATGATGATGATGATGATGATGATGATGATGATGATGATGATGATGATGATGATAAATAAATAAATAAAACAGCTGCAATACAAGTTGTTTACCACCACACAAAGATCACACGTCACAACATCAGGTGTAAACATCAACAAACTTTTCGCGGGCTTTTTTCTTCTTTTTTTTTCTTTCTCGTGACAAGAGAGAGATGTTGTGCTGACGTCACTGGGCGCCCACTACACGGCGGGTAAAATTATTGTTGTGTTTTGTATTGAATGAATGATATGGCAGTTAGGAAGAGATACACTTTAAGGTTAGGTTAGGTTAGGTTAGGTTAGGTTAGGTTAGGTGAAGATATTTTTTTTAAGATGATGGAGGATTTGGTTGGTATAAATATACAAGTTGTAGTTGATTGACGACCCACCACCATCCACTACGACCCACCACCACCCATTACGACCCACCACTCACTACGATCCACCACCACCCACTACGACCCTCCTATCCCTGAACTAACCCACCACCACCCACCACCATCTACTATAACCCCACCAATCCCTAACCTAACCCACCACCACCCACCACCATCTACTATGACCCACCAATCCCAAACCTAACCCACCACCACCCATCACCATCTAATTACATTCCACCAATCCCTAACCTAACCCACCACCACCTGTACCACCATCTACTATGTAACCCCACCAATCCCTAACCTAACCCACCACCACCCACCACCATCTCCATTATGACCCACCAATCCCTAACCTCACCCACCACCACCCACCACCATCTACTATGACCCACCAATCCCTAACCTAACCCACCACCACCCATCACCATCTACTATGACCCACCAATCCCTAACCTAACCCACCACCACCCACCACCATCTACTATAACCCCACCAATCCCTAACCTAACCCACCACCACCCACCACCATCTACTATAACCCACCAATCCCTAACCTAGCCCACCACCACCACCACCATCTACTATAACCCACCAATCCCTAACCTAACCCACCACCACCCACCACCATCTACTATAACCCACCAACCTTAACCTAACCCACCACCACCCACCACCATCTACTATGACCCACCAATCCCTAACCTAACCCACCACCACCCATCACCATCTACTATAACCCCACCAATCCCTGAAACCTAACCCACCACCACCCATCACCATCTACTATAACCCCACCAATCCCTAACCCACCACCACCCATCACCATCTACTATAACCCCACCAATCCCTAACCTAACCCACCACCATCTACTATAACCCACCAATCCCTAACCTAACCCACCACCACCCACCTTCGAGTAGCCAACATAATATCCCCCGTCATGGTCACATCACATAGCACAATACATAAACACTTCATACTAATTACTGCTACACAACTAATATTAACCCCCCAAATTGGCTACAGATTTCATTTTAAGGCTAATTTAACTATAATTACTGTTTTAATCTAACAAAAGTTCCATCTGTAAAACATTATCCTAATTATGTAAAAAAAAAATACATGATCATAGGTTTCGGATACGGGGCGATATCATCTGTTGTTGTACTCGACGTTCTGATTGGTTAGAAACAACAAGAATCCATTTGGTAATTGGTTGGGATCCGTGATGACGTCATGATTCGCTGATGCTGTCGTGCTCCAGTCAACTCACAGCACATAAGATGATGTCAATTGAAATTCTTAATAAAAAAAAAAATATAATCTTTGCTCAGTGTTAAGAGACTCACAGTACACCACCCACAGTAAACACATCCTTATGACGTCACGACTTCCCACCGGATACCTAAGAACGGCAACGAATTCAAGACGACTTTGTAAACACTATGAGTTCTCCTACTGACTGGAGTAAATAAATACGGGTAATATTTCCATCAAATCTTCGTTATATGCAAACACTTATTTACGATGACACTGTGTTGCTGTTATTAATACTTGAGAGTAGATATATATGTTTCTTAATTACTATAATGACTAAACAAATTTACCTGAGTTAAGTAAATTGGGTTGTGATTGAAGGAGGAGAGGGAAGTGGAGAGAGGGTGTGCGTTACTCTCTCATTCTCTCTCTTTCTCTCACTCTATCCTCCTCCTCTCTCTCTCTCTCCTCTCCAATTCTCCCAGCACTCAACGCCAAGGTTAAATAATGCTGTTTGTCGCTGTCAGTCATGCTGTTGGCTGATGTGTACACCGGCTGACAGTCTGACGAGTGTTTTCAAGCACACTTTCAACACAAGGGAGGAAGGAGAGAAAATGACATTATCTCTCTCGTGTAGGTGGCAAGGCTTCAGACTGACAGATAGACTGACAGATTGAGTGACAGGAAGACACACACACACACACACAAACCCTTTCACTCTCACACAGACACACACACATCTCCTCCCCACACACACACACACACACACACACACACACACACACACACAACCTTTCACTCATTATTACACACACACATTCTCTCTCTACACACACACACACACACACACACACACACACACACACACAAACCCTTTCACTCTCACACAGACACACACACACACACGCACACACACACACACAAACCCTTTCACTCACACACAGACACACACACACTCTCCTCCCCACACACACACACACACATCATTGTAAACCTCTTTCACTCTCACAGACACAC